ACAGAGAGAGACACAGCGAGAGAGGGAACACAAGCAGGGGGAGTGGGAGAGGGAGAAGCAGGCTTCCCGCGGAGCAAGGAGCCCGATGCGGGGCTTGATCCCAGGACCCCGGGATCATGACCTGAGCCGAAGGCAGACACTTAACGACTGAGCCACCCAGGCGCCCCTGCAATATTTACTTTTAAACGTCCCAAACTAGTATTTTAATTTTGTAGTCAATAAATTTTGATAACCCCTCCTCAGCTAAACATTATTCTTTAATAATTATGTTTCTTCCATGGCAAATTTAATGACTTTTAAAAAAAAATATGGTACTCTGCTTGGGATAATCTCTTACCCCAAGTTATAGGTATATACATTTGCCTATTCATGTTTGCGTTCACATCTTTTATCTTCCTGAAAAGGCAATGAATTACTTTAATGTACCTTTTAAGAGTGTATCACCTAGTCATGGTGGTACCATGCTCCATGAATTTTAATGGAGCAGAAATAGTGTATTTTACTTCAGAGCATCCTAGCTATAATATTCCAACTGGTATTTTCATCTACCTTTGTAAGTAGGTAGTTACACATTGTCCAGGATATGCGATCCTGCTTCCTGAGCTGAGGAAAGGGGAAAGATCCAGACTAGATTTGAAGCACTTTTCCCAGCAGGCTACCTTCTGCTCCTTACCAAGAAGGTCACAGTTTGGAATCTTTCCCCCACTGAAAAAAAGCCTGTGAGAGGGACTAGAATCTCCTGTGGCACAGAGCCTGTCACCAGCTTATTCTCTGCCAGGAGGAGAACATTTCCTTACTGAGCTGTTTCACAGTTGGGTGCTATTGGAGAGGTCATGAGTCACTTATCTGCTGACTTCCTTATAAAGCTATTCTTGAAATTGATGGTGTTTGTGCTGTAAGTAGCAAGTTAATCGGCAGTCCCTGAGCTTCTGTTGTACTTTTGGGGTCTGAATGACTAGAAGAGTCAATACCTTATGCCATTGTGGTAGTATTTGTGTGTGTGTGTGGCTTTTAACAATTATTTTTAAAACATCTTCAAATATTTGTATTTTTCTCTCTGTAGGTCCTTGTTTTATTGTTGTTCTTTCTATTATAAAAGCAATATAAATAGTTTTGAAAATATAGTGACACGTAAAGGATTATGAGGCCTCTAATGATGTCTATTCCAGCTTTTTTTCCACTAACCATTACACTGTGAGCATTTTCCTTATCATTCAATTGTAATACCATATTTTTCCTGTCTCTTACACTCGCTACCCTGATGCCACAGTCATCCATGATTATTCCATGTTATTTAAATAACAGGTTTCCTCTTAAAAAAAAGTAGTCAACTTCTTGATATCTAAATCTTCCTCTGCTTTCCTATATGCTTTCTTAGGATAAATCTTTTGAGGTAAAATAACTGAGTGAAAGGCTTTAATTATCTTTATGGCTTTTGATAAACAACTGTATGTTGCTAATTTCTCATCAAAATCACCACATTAGTATTTTTTCTGAACTCCTGAGGCAAAATGGTGTATTACAATTTAAGAACATCCTTACTAGTTTGATATGAAAAATGTCGTATTATGCAAACATGTTATGTAAATATTTTTTTTAAAGATCTATTTATTTATTTGAGCAGGCGGAGGGGAAGGGCAGAGGTAGAGAGTGTCTTAAGCAGACTCCGTGTTGAGTGCGGGGCCGACACAGGGCTCCATCTCACAACTCTCAGCTCACGACCTGACCCGGAACAAGAGTTGGACGCTTAACCAACTGTGCCACCCAAGTGCCCCTGTAAATATCTATCTCTTTGAAAATTAGTGGATGTGACTTTACCTTGTCATGTTTCTTGGCTGTTGATTTCAGTTGTGTTTAGTGAAGTGCTTTACCCATCGTTTGCTTAGTTTACATTGAAGTATTCATTTAAAAATGATTTTCACAAGCCTTTTATATATTATCGATGTCAACAATCTAATGTTATACATATTAGAAGTGACTTATTATGTTTTATGTCTCTAAATTTTTTTGTTCCTCACAAAATGAGTTTTATATTTTATATAGACAAATCTATAGATTTATATCCCTATGATTTCTCACTTATTATGCTTAGAAACTCCTTCCCTGATGAAACAGAAAATGTGTATTTTTCTAGTTACTTTATGATGTTATTATTACCATTGCAGTTTACATTTTCTCTTTACACTTACTTGAGGATACCAAATTAATCTAGGGGTTAAATATGTATATATTCAATTTTTCTTTTCTTTTAAATAAGGAGTTGCCTCTGCACTACTTTTAAATAAGTCTTCCTTCTATGTTTGTTGCAGAGAAGAGATATTCTTGAAGGCCTAGTCACTTCCAAGACACATGCAATGCTTTAGCTATGAGGGAACTGACAGGTGAATTATCTGCAAAGGAATTACCATTAGGCTGCTATTATCGGAGAGCAGAGTCCCCGACCTTTACCTGCTGCTTAGTACCTAAATGTCCTTTGTCCCTCTCCACGTTACTCTTTTCATTTTAAATGAATTGCCCTTCACTGAAGATCTACATTTAATAATGCCAAATATGTTATCCTTGTTCACATTAGGCACATGAATAGTCAACCCCAGTTCAAGCATGGTTTTGATTTAGCTGAGCGGTTTTTACTTATCACTTTTAGAGTGGAGAAAATTCCATGAGTTTAAATCAGTGGCCAGAGATTACATTATCTCTTTGTAAAGGAGCTGAATTTTCTAAATGGACTGTGCTGAGATGTCACTGTCCAGATACAGTCTGCGTAATGCATCCTCTTCCAGCATGGAATGCAAGCAGCACAGAGAATGGGAATGTAAAGTAGGCCAACATTAATCAGTGCTTAATTTGGGCGGTGCAGATTCCTGTCTCTAAATCGCAAAAATAAAAATCCTAGGAAAATATATCAATCCCAACTGTATTTTATTAGAGATATGATTTCAGTCAACACCTGTTTTTGAAGATTCAGAAACAAAAAACACTGAAGTGATCAAATAAACATTAGATAAATCCAGAAAGAAATTTATTAAAGCAAGTTTTATATCTATGGGTCCAAAGACAAAGAAAAACTAAGCGTTCCACGGAAGAAAGGAAAAGGGAAGGACCGCAGGGGAGTAAGGAGATGCTAGGTGTTCATGAAACTCTGAGTCCTATAGCGATGGACATAGTCTGGGAAGGTGGGAAGGGGAGCCGGACTTCAGAGTAAAACAGATAAACAGGATACAGAAAGAGAATAGCAAAGATAATGATGAAGTGTTACATAATGTGTGCGAAATCAAAGTCATAATTTCTTCCTGTCAGGAGATTAAAGAAAACAATAAAAAGTAGTGAGTCAGAGCTGTGACAATCTCTAAAAGCCACATGAAGTGCAGTTTAAGCATTAGCAAGAGCCCCAGTGATGGAAAGGAAATCTAGAGATGAACTGGAACTGAAGTCACCCACTTTGATTGTCATGCTAATAACCACGCGCGATTTTCTATTAGGAGACTTACAAAAATAAAGGCTTCAATGAATCATGGAACACTACATCAAAAACCAATGATGTAATGTATGGTGATTAACATAACATAATAAAATAAAATTTAAAAAATAAAATAAAAAATAAAGAACTGAAAAAAATAAAGAAAAAATAAAGGCTTCAGAACATCACCTCTCCAGCTCTCCCGTAACACGGCAGTAGTCTATAATGTTGCTAATAATACTTCACACTTTAACCTTCAGAGAGCTTTACTTTTAACCTCCCAAATACACCATATGCTATGTCACCAACTTGATAAATGGAAGACCAATCAGGGAAGATAAATGAGTAATCATAGGAAGCAGAGTCTGCCGATAAAGACCAGATCCTCGTCTGTGGGGTCAGAGTTTTGTGATCTAAGATGTATTTAAAATTTAAAGAATAATTCATACAATAAAATTATTTAAAGGAAAAGGTATATGTAGTGTGTTAAATTTGAGTTTGATATTTCTGTTTAAGATTGGCCCTTGAGAATCCTACCAATTCAAGTTCACATTTATTTTAGGCATGAGGGTCCCCAAATCTCTGAGAATGTAAGTGAATTCAACATTAGCGTGTTATTACAACAGGATTTTAAAATGCTTGGGCCTTTAGAATAAATCCATTCTAAAAAAAAAAAAAAAAAAATAGTACACACCCAAATCACCAAATGGGGAAAGTTAAGGGAAACAAACAAACAAAACCCCGATGGTGTGGATTCAGCCTAGGAGGAAGGCAGGCTGGAGACCATTCAGCCTCATTAACCAGGGATCTGCGCTGTGACCTGCCTTTGGCCTCGAGTGGTACCCCACCAGCTGCATTTCTCTGGCATAGAGGGTGGTTAGTTAACTGGGCCGGTAGCCAGAGATGTTTCTTTTCCTTTTCTCATATTTCCAGAATTGGAGGGATTTTTTCCTACATATTTTTCACATAAAGATGCGGAGTCGAGTCCACCCACTGTGAATAAATTGAATTTAGCTGTCTTTATGCCTCCTTGATTTCCATCGACTGAAAGTCTACAATACAGGGGCAGATGTGTAAACTGGGAAATCTTCCAGACTTCTTTGTTGTTGTTGTTGTTATTCTACTTAATGCCAAGACACTCAACAATATCCCACATGAAACAGGGCTCTGGTGTGGCTAAACAGGCCTCCAGCTTTATGGAAGATAGGTTTGCTCTTCACACTAGCCTGTGGGCCAGGCAAGCTCAAATGTTTGAATTGTCTTTCAGTACTCTTGCTTCAAAGGGTAAAGAGCATCACATTTCAAGAGGGGTTCTTTTTGTTCATTGAGTTTTCTCACACTTGAAATCACATTACTACGTTATAGTATACCAAGGTATGGCAAATATTTCCACAAATGTCATAATCTCAAGTATCACATGTACACACAGTATCAACATTCAATCCATAGTAAAAAGGGAAATTCAGCTTTAAATGTTGCTAACCTTCTGACTATGGTCCTACTCAGTTACAGCTCAAACATCCAGAAAGCTGTATCCATGCTTTTCCATTAGACTTTTAACAAGTCACCACTTACAGTCTCCACATGATATTCAGCTCGCTTACTGGGTGATATCCAGAAAAGAGAGTAAATTCCTTTTGCAATCGTAGTTCTATTTCTCCATTACAGGTAGTAGTATGCCCTAAAAGCTCTTTTTCTGCACAAAGGCTGTCCATGTCCAGTTCTAGCTCTGAAATTTAAATACCAATTGGTGTTCTTAGTATACTACTTGGTATCTGAAATCTCTGTAAAGACAGTTAGTTGATAGTTTCCGGTTTTACTTCAGTGGTTTTTCTAGCTTTTCATTCCTATCTGTAGACTGGGAGAAAAATTAACTATATTCCAAAGGTTTAGTTAGATAATAATGAGAGGCAAACATGCATGTTTGGGGGCTGTTACTTTAGTGGAATTTTTTTTTTTTTTTTACTCTCTTCATCTATGGCTGATAATATTGTGCTCAATGACAGAGATGGGGATTGATCTCTCAGGTTCATCTAAGTAAAACTGTGTGGCCTCTGTTCCTTTGCTCACGGCCCTCTCTGTTTTTCATTTATTACCTACATTTTTCCAATTCTGCAGTTGAAACCTGATGAAAGGATCATCAAAACAGAGTACGGGCTACTGATTCGAAGTCTGCAGAAGAAGGACGCTGGGATGTATTACTGCAAAGCACAGGAACACACTTTTATCCACACCATAGTGAAGCTGACTTTGAATGTCATTGAGAATGAACAGATGGAAAACACCCAGAGGGCAGAGCACGAGGAGGGGCAGGTCAAGGATCTGTTGGCAGAGTCACGGTTGAGATACAAAGACTACATCCAAATCCTTAGCAGCCCAAACTTCAGCCTCGACCAGTACTGCGAACAGATGTGGTACCGGGAGAAGCGGAGACAGCGAAACAAGGGCGGCCCCAAGTGGAAGCACATGCAGGAAATGAAGAAGAAACGAAAACGAAGACATCACAGAGACCTGGATGAGCTTCCTAGAGCCATGGACACGTAGCTGTCTGTTTAATTTAAAGAAAGGAATTCTTTACCTGCAAAAATACCGTCTTCTGTTTTGTACACCCCATATACTAACTCATAAGAGCTTTCCATGGAGTTTTGCTAAGGCAAAGAACACAAGAACAGTGATCTGAATAAGACCATATATGGTCAATATGGCATAGTAAGGGCAAATAATTCAGCTGGACCAGTTTTCCAAGAACTAAACACGTACCTGCAAAGTATCAGAATTATCCTCAAAATCGGGGCTTTACATTTGTAAATGTTTGATGTGCTGAGTTTTTGAATTTATTATGTCATGTAAATAATTGAGCTGAGCGAGCATCAAATTTGATATTGCAATAAGGTGCTTTATTTCCCTTGCATGGCCATTAAGCATGGACTTGACCATGCAGTTGTGCTATGTATGTGTTCTTAGGAACAGATACATCATTCCACTCTAGAACTGGCCATCTTGTGGTAGGAATTGGAGGGAAGACACAAATTCATACAGTTCACGCTATCAGCAGGAACTTTCCCAGGGAGCCCTTCACTCTTGGTGCAGGGTTTAGGAATTTGGAGAGGTGCGTTATTTCAGACCCCAGAGGTTACATTCGGTGTACTGCGGTGTGATATACTGAAGGATGTAAATGGTCCTCCCGGGATTCCTTATGCCTTGTCAAGAGTAACAGGTTCACAGAGAGAAGTTGGTGCTCGGTTATGTGTTTTTTAGAATATATGCTGAGCTTTACAGGGACAGAACGTTTCATAAATATTTTAATAATATATGAGAAAACATTTTAATAAGGGAAACACCATGATGTATATTGCGTCCTAATGGGAAGGCATGCAGATGGAATTTGTTAAGAGACAGAAAGAAAGAAAGCCATAAATTCTGGCTTTGGGGAAAACTCATATCCCCATAAAAAGGAAGAACGATCACAAATAAAGTGGGCAAAATGTTATGTAGCTTTATTCACTGAAGTATGAGTAGCTGCCAATTTGCAATCCATCTGTTAAAAAAATTCTACCTTATAACAAACTGCTAGCGAAGTCTGAGGAAAAGTAAATTTTCTAAAAGATCATGGGAAGAATGAACACAAATTTATTTACAACCAATGGGACTTCAGTAGTACTTCCTCTCTCTTTTTCTAAAATTTCATTATACTCTGTAAATTATTTCCATTTACTGCCTTTATTCTCTCCTGAATATTGGATTATTGGGTTTTATTTGAGTGAATAGGAAAATAACAATATATACATATATAGAGAGATAGAATTAGGTAGACAACAGAGGTGGGGAGCAGGGATATATATTTGTTGAGTAATAGAACAAATGCAAAAATGTTGACAACGGAAAGGGTTAAATTAACTCTTTGACATCTTTTCTTCACACGGTATTTTTGCATTTCCCAAGATTGTATGCTGTAATTCAAGTAGCATTGTTTTAGTAATTTAACAATAAATAAGCCTAATGCATGTAAAGAAAGCAAACTCACAGCATTAACATAAACATTTTTCGTATTTTGTTAGCACTTTCAAATGTTTCCAATTTGACTTTCCCTCTGCAGACCTATGGTATGTTTCCTGCCTGTTGGAGCAGAACTCACCTTTCCATCTTGGAACACAAAACCCTTTGCCTTCTTCTGTTTTGCCTCTTCACGCCCTTTTTAGTGTGAAATGAAAAATTAGTCACTTCCTCACATGGAAGGCAGCCTTTCAGAAAACTGAATAGCAGACATTGCTCATCTAGCATGCATTCTGCATGTCTTGAAAGAAGAGCCTGTGAGAACCTGTGTGGTTAGAGGGTGCCTTATGAAGAGTTTCGGTATCATGTCTGTGACTGCCTTTATGTTGGGAACATTCAATCTTACGTTCATTTTCTTTGCCTTCCTTACCTATCTCAAAGTAGTCACACGGCTGTATGAGGTTAGGTACCCCTTTTGAAATGATACCCGTAAATATTTGTAGATGTTTCACTAGATGGGAAACTTGAAGGTTTTTGTTGTTGTTGTTGTTTGTTTGTTTTGTTTTTTGTTTTTTAAAGTGAACCAGAAACAATCACTCTTAAAAAAGTAATGCAGAAGAATAGCTGTGGCGGCGGGCGGGGGGGGGGGGGGATCAGGCTGCTAATTGAATATCATAAGGAGAGTGTTTGTAATTATTGACTTGCCAGGTTTAATTGTTCCAGGAACTCATGACAAGCTCAAAGTAAATAAATGGGAGCATGTTTCATTTTTAAGATTTCCTAAGATTTGTATGTCAAATTGTCATGATCAAAGTATAGGTAACTTTGGGAAAATTACATGAAGCTCAAATGTTAAGACTGATGTGTAATAAATTTGGTTTTCATCAAAATATGAATGTTCAAGCCATTTTTAAATTACTCCTTTCTAATCTTAATTATTTAGATAAAATTTGGGCAACTTTTTTTACTTTACAGCTAATATTTTGGCTGCTTTGGATCTAAAACATTAATTTATGATAATTGCTTAAATATATTTGAAATATTGAGTAAATATTTAGTAAAACAAAATGTCATATAATAAAAAAAATATGGGCAAAGATTTATGTGTATTTATAAAGATAGAGGACATCTAGGCTACATTTAATTTTTTAACCTTTTAATTGCCTAGAACACTTACAAGGACAGTATGAATATATTAAGTCTAGAGATGAGACACGATATATACTTCCTCACCACTGAAACTTTTACCAAATTTTCCTTGAAATAATGAAAAATAAAATTATAGTTAATAGTTTCAGATATGTTTGTTAAGAAACTAGCTATCTATGGAGAGGTCTTAAAATGTCTGCCTATTGGTTTCATATTTTTCTCCCCTGTTTTGAATACATATGTCTTTAACTTGCATATTCTCGCCTGCATTTCATTCCAGCTATTTATGCTGCTAAATGGAATCCTGCCTTTCTGCATACATTTACATTCACTTTATTGGGAATTTTAAGAGGTTGCTTGGAAATGAAGAGTCTACGTAATTAATTTATGTAGAACCTTTTTTTTCCCTCCAAAGAACTCAACACACTACATTCATATTACTGAATAAACATTTCTGAAAACCAACCAAATTACTTAAGAGATGGAAAAATAGTCATAGAGAAATTCAGAAATTTGCAAAAGCTACAACAGAATTATAATCTACACCAAATCTCATCAATCGGTTGGCTAACTGATGCTCATTTACAATATGCTGCCCACAAAATGGTATTACTCTTGAATTCTGCTTTTGGTCTATATTTCAGTTCTTTTATGCTATTTTGTTCCTGCTGAATTGTATAGACTCGATTAAAAAATAAGTTTACAGTGGCCAGTGCCTGTTTTTCAACATTATCAAAAGTAAGCTTTCAAAGATGATTTTCTATTATCCAGATGTCCACAAAATATTAAGCTGAACAATAGCATTAATTAAACACTGATATTTTAAACTTAAATATAAGCTATATTTCATATATATCATAAATACAAAGGAAAATTAAAACTGAAACAGCTTCTCTTTAGAATGCTCGTTTGTCTTAGACAACATGTTGGAAAATGGATTAGTCTTATTGGGAATGGACAGTTTAGAAAAAAGATATTTGAAGTGTTTTTATAGAAAAATATATTTTTTCTCACAGGAAATAACCAAAATATTTAAATAACTTGGCTTACATGTGAGGTTAAAAAATAAGATCTAAAATTCCAACATTCTACATATTGACAGTGCAAAGACAGGAACATGCACATGATTTATACCTCTCATTTAAATATTTTGTAGTATAGTGTATTTATGGTAAGTTTGAGATAGATGATTTTTTGGGGGAAGGGCAACAATCTATCAGTTAATCATGTAATTTAATTCCGGTATTATAAGTGGCTACCAATCAATTTCGAATTACAGTTTTGCTATTTTAAAAGAAATGTAGTCTTGTAATCTAAAATAATTGAAAATTGTCAAATGTATATTTTGGTTGTATTATAATAAAACACAAACATTAGTGTTCTATGGTTATAAACAGAATGTTCGTTTGTGTGCAAGTTTTGTTTTCAAACCCTAAACGTGGTAATCAGATTTTTGACATGGAATTGCACTAAATCAAATACCCAAGAAAATATTTCCTGAAAACATTCAGTAAATATGTTTTGCACTTTAAGTATGCAGTAATTTCTCTTATGAAAGAAAGGAATATATGTGTCTCCCCAATCAATACAATTATATAGCTATACTTTATTGTGATCTAAATTTAGACTTTGGCAAACTAACATAAATATTACTATTGCAAGTAACTACTTTTAAGATTTCCAATGATCATCCTATAAGTGAGATCTGAAAGTACTCATCTGTATGTTTAGCTATATGAGCATAATTTATTAAAGAAGTTAGCTGAGGTCTTTGTTTTAGAAAGAAATTTCTTTTAGAGAAAATTATATTTCTTGCCAATTTGGCATATTCCCGTGAAGGATATTTTATATTTGCAATAGGTAATATATAACAACCCCCCCAACCTGGTTATGAAATAGCTTGTAGAGATATTGTACAGAAGTATGTCAAGTTTTGTGGGTGCTCTGACAATCTTTAAACATGAGAGTTTATAGTAATGTATAATCTTTAAAAGAAAAAATAATTTAATATGGGGCACTCTTAGTAGAACCTTAGTAAGATCATGTCCAAGTCATTACTGTAAATAAAACATAACACAAGATTAATAATGGAGAAAATTCCAATTGTATTTGTTTGAATGTAGAAAAGTACATGAGTAATTCTCAAGACAAAAGAAACAAGACTTTAACATTTAAGTTGAGAATTAAAAGCATCTATAACCACACAATTTATTACCTGCATTGACAATTTTCCTAGCCCAGGGAAGTCTTGCCCAGGAAGATGAAGCTGCAGATAACTTTACTGTTTCTTTCAGAAGATCATATACTTTTCCTTTGTGTGTATATTGGTACAAACATACATCTTGGAGACTGATTTGGCATACCCAATGAAGTTTAAAATGCACATATTCCAAGAACCAGCTTTTCACAATTAAGTGCATACCCTTGAGAACCTTCTC